CAGTATTGAGTTTGTTCCTTGTGGTCTCTTTTTTTCTCTTCCTGGGCATATTCATAGAATTGTGTATGGCTGGAAGGAACAGACAGGGGAAATTGAATGCAATCTTTCACTAGGTTGCATACTGGGAAATAGATCTTCTGTCTGTTTGCTTACTTTAATCTAGCCCTGTATATTGACATGAATGTTTGCACCTTTCATAGAAGACCCCCATGATATTTTTACCAAAGGAGCAAATTCTGGTATAGAAACATGGAAACAGAACGAGTCAGTTGGGGTCTCCTGGGCCATCTAGTCTGACCCCCGGCTCCAGCCGGCTCCACTCATGACATGCCCAGCATACCAAATTCTGGTATACTGCCCAAAATTCAAAGCAAGGCAATATTTCTCTGTTTACATTATTTTAACCATTCATTATGGTACCTGGGAGCTGCATATATGAAGAAGTGGCATTTACTTTCTTCATGAGACGAATGATCTATATACACAGTCATAAACCATCCATAGGAAAATAGGAAGCTACCTTATACCAAGTTAAGCCATTGATCCATGTAGTCCAAGTTGTCAGCATTGACTTTAATTGAGTTTCCAGGGTCAGAAGAAGGATTCTTTCCTAGTTGTACCTGGAGATGTCAGTGAAGTAAGTTATTCAGTAAGTGTTCTGTGTGAAAGACTCATTGCATCCTGGCAGAGACAATTCCTGGCATTGATATCATTTTTGTCATAAATATTACAAATGCACCACATACATCCTTGTGAAAAGTAAACATAATTGCCATTCACAACACTTACCTTCACACAGCACCATATAGATGAAGTTATTTAGGAGCAGTTTGACTAATATTTCTGTCCAATAATCATAATAATAAACTGGATATGCTAATCAGAAAATTTGGCAACATGAAGGTAAAATCTTGCTGTTTGACAACTGCCCTGTTAAGAGTTAATAAATAAATAAATGTGGTGAGGAATTCTTAACAAAAGTGAAAAATGCATAAAACTCAAAACCAAATAAAGATAGGCTAGACGGGCACATGGTAGGCATGTCATGAGCAGAGCCAGCTAGAGCCAGGGGTCAGACTGGATGGCCTAGGAGGTCCTTTCTTATTCACTGTGTTTCTATGAATATCAAGTCTGAATGAACTGGTCGTCTGCATCAGGTTTCCTGTAGCTCTTGAGCTTCATGTTATCAAAACTTTTTCAAAGCTATTTATTATAATCTTCTAGAGCTTGGATTCACATAATCATCAAGAGAATGGATCTATACTAAAGTCTTCTCATTATTTATCCTCTTCATGAGGAAAAGTTGGCCAGCAAATTATGTCCACATCCATTGAGAATATTCACAGTACTATATATGATGCCCATAAAAAGACTGCTATTGGTGGTTTATATCTAGCCCATGGGTTAATTTTTTTCCCCATGATGTGCCCTTTTCTGTCTCAGATAGGATGAGCTGTTCATTAAACAGATTAGGTGCTAGAAAATTTGCTTGCAGGTAGTTTCAGTTATTCCCAACTGCATAGGATCTGTAGGTCCTGCATGATTTGCAAACATCTGTATACATGAAACAGCCACCATATTTATTTATTTATTTTAATTATGTACTGTCCTTCATTTAAAAATTCCAGCATGGTTTATATATTTTTTAAAAAAGCAATATAATCACAATACCACAGTGGAAAATATCTTTAGTGCCAGTACTTGATATAAAAATTAAAATACCAATTAACAATTTAAAAACTGGGTAAATAAAAAGATTTTGGCCTGGTGCCAGAATGAATACAGTGTTGGCACCAGGTGCACCTCTCTGAGGAGCAAATTCCATTATCAGGGTGTGGGTGCTATAGCAAAAGAGGCCCCCTTCCTCTTATTAGCCCTTCTCACCTATTTGAAAGAGGGCTCTTGGAGAAGGACCTCTGCAGATGATCTTAAGGTCTGGGCAGGCTCATATGGAAGGAGACATTCCCTTAGGTAACCAGACCCTAAACCTATATGCAACTGGCAGCTAGAAACAGAATGCTTCAGCTTTGGGGCTAGGCTGAAAATGGCAGCCAACATTCCTAAATGGTGTGGCTATCTCCCCTGTAAGCAGCTAATCATACTAAACTTTCTCCAGATCCTATACTCAACAGTATGGAGAAATTACCTAGCATTTGTTTGTGTGACACTATATATAGGAAATGCCAGTTTGGTAACCTAAACTCATGACTCCCCCACCTCTTGTTTCCTAAGAAACATCTGCAGATTAGACATTAAGTGCATGTTAAGCACAAAAACTTTGGAGTTCAATAGCTGATTGTAGATGTGTGTTTGCCTGTGTTTTCCCAAAATACATCAGCTCCTAAACAGTATATGTTACCTCAGTGTGCAGATCATCCTTAAAGAGCTAGTTATAATTAGCTACTTTATCAAGCTAGTAGGTTGCTCTAAAATATAACTTTATTAAGCAGCAGATTCAAAGATTAAAAGGGTATTTGTAGCAGTAAGGCTAAATAGATTGAGAAAAATGAATCCATGTGGTTTCAGATTTATGAAAATAAATACTTAGACTTAAATCAGTGCAGTAGTTTAGTCTTGACTCTTTAGCCATCTCTCTAATTGTCATTCAGTAATTAGTTTTCTCCTTTATTGCAGCCAATTACTTTAAAAAAAGGAAGAGAGAGATGAGTCATAGTGAATTGAATTCAAATTATGATCGGCCTTCTCTCCATTTGTAGAATGAATATAAATGGAGCAGGGGTCCTCTTAAGACACACATAAGGTTATTTGCATAATTTTTTTTTTAAAAAATCTAGTTTTAATGGTATTGGGCCATGGGGAAAAGGAACTTGTCCTGATCCTAAATATTCCTCCTTATAATTGAAAGGCAGTCACATCTTCTTTGTATTGATCCTTCTTCCCAAGACATCATGAATCCTTCATACAAGCCAGGCCCCTGTGCATCTCATCAGAGCACAACTGAAAAAATGAACTATCTCAGGATGTGAGAATGGATTTTATTCTGTAAAACTTGGGTCAGATTCAAATGTTGCTGATGTGGCTAATTTCTATGGCCCAATTCTTGTGGTTCCTATTAACATATTTTCCTAGTGCAGCTACTTCCAGACCACTCGGAAGCAGCTCAGGTGTCATAACAGTAACAAATGATAGGATGCATTTGCTCAGAACCGCAGTGCCTGCATCTCTCTTATGCTTTCCTTTGATATAATAGTACAGTCTTAGTGTTCTTTTGTCAGCATGCAATATTTCAGTGTGTACAGGCATGGCATTTTTCTTTCTTTGAAGAAATTAAAACAATGACTTTGTACATGAACATGCAAATAGGCAAGGTAAAATTCAACTTTCAACTGGGGAACTGTCCAAAGAAAATTTTTCAGGGAGCTGCAGGGTGGAGGAAAGAGGGAAGAAATCCCTTTATATGAGCAGATTTCCACTCATAGGACATTGGCTTCCGCCCATAGGAATTGGCATATTTTCACTTGCCCTCATCAGTCCTGTTTAGTTGACCCCCTTAACTCATCTGTCCTTATTTGGTAAACAGTTGATTTTTGCGTAACTCGCTTCAAATGTGCATCTCACCAGGGTGCTAAGCAGAACATTTTGCATTTCTGTATGAGAGAAAAGGCCACCCAGTCTTTGTAGGCATACAAAGACGCCTGGCACCGTCGTTACTGGTTTTTCGGCGCCAGGTAAAGACCTTTTTATTTAAACATCATTTCAATTGTTAAAACATATGATCTGGCCTGGGCAACTTCTTCTTCCTTCTCTTTCTCCTCCTATATTTTTATTTTATACTGATAATTTTAATTTTGTATTTGTAAATCAATGTATTTTTTGTATTGTTATATTTAATGGTAATTTATTATGTACTATTATATTTCAATGTATTTTATCATGTTGTAAGCCGCCCCGAGGTTTCGGCAAGGGGCGGCATAGAAATGTTATAATAATAATAATAATAATAATAATAATAATAATACCAAAATATGAGAAATAATAATGAAGTATTTCTTTTATGCAGTTCCCTGTATTTGCCTGTATCCTTTGTAATGTTGCAAAATCTTATTGAGGTGCATGCTTGCTACCCTGGGAAAAATGTGTACGCAATCAGATTTTAGATAGGTTTATGTCATTATGGCTCCTCTTCCCTTTTGTGTTGTGAGGTATCTTGAACATAGTCCAAGAGCTGCTGCAGCACTTAGGCAGTTGCCACAGTGCAAGCAATCATAAGCTCAGCACTGACAGTGTTACTGGTGCAACCACTTGTGCCCACCTATGCGATTCAAGTTGCACTGAGTTTGTTTATGCTGGCACTGTGTCAACTGCATAAGCAGCATGGCAGTATTTGGGTACTGTCCAAACTTTCTTGCAGCATTCAGAAAGAGCAAGAAATGTTTTCCTCCCAGCATTTCAGGTTTGCAACATGAACTGATATCCAAAGCTGGAGGAAGTAGATCTGCTCATGCAGAGCCTAGCCTGCTGTGTCATCTGGCAAGGTGATAAACCCACCCACAAAAATAGCCACCAGAGTTAAGCCCCATGCCTTTCCACTTGCATCAAAAGTCTAAGGCACCTTTTAGAAATTAGATCTTCTGAAACTGGTTCTGGCCCACTGTCTGAGGAGGTAGCTTGAGCTATTTCCAGTCAGTGGATTTGTTCACAAAAAATGTTCCAGCCTGCCATTTCATGCAGAGTTGATACATTTTGCAAGCTGAGCCCTCCAGCCTAGTGCTAACTGTGGATAATGGGCACATCAGCTGTTGGATGGGGTGGGCAGCAGAATTCCCAAGCAGTTCCTGGACTGCTCTGATATTCTAGGAGCAAGACAAAGAGAGACAGGTAGCATCTGCTTATTTCAGAAGGAAGTAGGAGGTTCAGTTTGGACAGGCACATTAGCTGGTAGGTTACAATCAGAGTTATAAATGCTTGAGACCTCACAAGAAGATCTTGAGTAAAACTGTGCCATCTGTCACCTTTTCCTCTCTTCCCTCTAATTTCAGAGCTCATCTGTGTCTCCATCAGCAAGTTTCAGAGCCTCTGAGAAGCACAGAAACTCAACAGATTATTCTTCTGAAAGCAAAAAACAGAAAACAGAAGAAAAAGAAATAGCAACTCGTTATGTGAGCAAAGCAATTAATACTTTTCCAGTTTATCACTTTGTATTGCATGTGGCAATGCACAGTCTGTGCAATGATCCTTTTTCCTCTGTTGGTTTCTGCAGCCTCTGCCTTCCTCCCACCCCCAAACACCCACTCACCCACCCAGGGCCTTCCCAGCTTAATCCTGGGCCAGAGCAGGGACACAGAATGGAGATGGCTCCAGCTCTTCAGCATAGATTCTGTTAAAGAGTGTACTGTGATGTGAATAATCTTATTGTCCATCAAGAGATGCTAGGATGTGCAGTCCCAGTGTGCAGCTAAGCTGCTTCTACAGCTACTGCCTTCTACTACTGTGAGTTGGGAGAGCCCTTGAGGGGGCAGGGGCAAGGCAAGGCAGCAGTTGCAGAGGGCCCTCATGGAATAGGTTAAGGGGCATTCTGCTTATAATAGGTTATGACCAGGAACCTACTCGGCATTACCTTTTTGTTGTTATATGACCCCGTGAAGGAGGGCCCTCCAAAATGTCCTGTCCTTGACAGCCCTGTTCAGCTCTTTGCAAGTAATCAAATTGGAGCTTGCATTTTCAAAGCAAAGCTCACCTTTGCAATTACTCACCAATTCCATGCTCCTAATTTGACTTCAGCCTCTAATTTGTATAGTGTTAGTAATAAAACTGTTTGTAAATAGCCATATCATGAAAGAAGTATATTACTGACATGTTCTGTCATGGCTGTTTTCAGCTGTAACTTGCTGAAAGTTTGCCAGTGAAGTTCTGCTAATGCCTAAATAAAAATGTTACTTGTGTGAGAGACTAGATTTTTGGAATGCTTAAGCTTTCTTCTTCTACTTCTTCTTCTTCTTCTTCTTCTTCTTCAATGCAGGACAGTGATGGTGAAAAGAGTGACGACAACTTGGTGGTTGATGTTTCCAATGAGGTATGTGGGATGCTGTTTTGGGTACCTGTTTCTTTGAATATCACTGGATATATGGGTAGCATTGATTTGGTTATTAGTAATAGGAGATTGAACTTGTTTTGTTATAATACAAAGGAATTCAGGTGCCTCTTTTCATTAGAAGCAGTGGAGGCTTCATCACTGTAATGCTATACCTATAGTAATGTCACACTACTCCCAGAGTGGAAAAGGGTTTTTTTTGGAGGGGGGATTTATATAAGCTATAGAAGAAGATGCCAATATAGATCAAGTCATATACCGTGATAATAATTACAGCCTACTTTTAGGATCCGTCATCTCCACGAGGAAGCCCAGCTCATTCTCCAAGGGAGAATGGCTTGGACAAGACTCGTCTACTCAAGAAAGATGCACCAATTAGCCCAGCCTCAATAGCATCTTCCAGCAGCACTCCTTCCTCCAAATCCAAAGAACTTAGCCTTGTAAGTGACTGTACTCTCTGAGTCCACGCTCATATCTCTTTGTGCACTGTTGGGTGTCTAAATAGAGAGAGAAAATAATGAGATGTGTCCCAGTTGCACATCTTGATATAAAGCTGCCTTCAGTAGATTTCTGCTAAAAACAAAAACAAAACAAAAAACATTGAAACCCAAGAACTTTTGGGGTGATAGAGAGGCTTATTCAGCTAGCAGTGTCTGAAAATGATGTGTGTGCCTTTATTGTGATATATATTTTTTCATGTCAGGAAGCTTGCCATTCTGTGGATAAATAAGAGCACACAGGGGTTCTTTGAATATTTTTTTTGTATGGTAGTTTACAGTAAATTCAGCTTCCTGCTTGGACAGGATTTGGTTCTTGCCTTTATTTGTATTACTGGGCTATGTTCAACTACAGTCATTTTCTATCTAAAAAGTAATCTGTCATTTACAAGAGCCTTTCTTGACTTGCATAACAAGTCACAATTCAGAAAAGGTCTGCTTGCAAATCCAACATTGTGCTGCCTCTATTGATACTGAGAGTGTATGCCTGTGTGCAAGAGAGATTGGGAGTGGGAGGGAGATAAACAGACTGTGGTTAATTATCTTTCCTAGATGAAACTGCCATGAATTGCACACATTCTTCCTTGTAGGACCAGAGACCTTCTCACACCAATGTTTAGGGAGTATGGAGAACCAAAAATCAGTTTGGTGATAGCCCTTGGGGAAAATGGCAATATACCCATGAGCCATGGAAACCATAAGCCACTGTGCCTCAGTGCATCTGATCAGGAAAGTGACTTATGGAGGGTCGTCATCTACTTAACCCTTCTCTGTTACCTTAACTTTGATTGTCTGGAAGCCCTAGCCTTGTCCCCAAGCACCTTCTGCTGAATAGGGAGTTGACATGACCAGAAGCCTGAAATGGATTGTGGAAATTCAGTTCTGCTTAAAAGTTACAGTACAGTGGAAGAGGAAGGGGGACCTAGACAAGCCACCATTCTTTCCTCTTCCATCTATAATGTAGATATAATAATACTGGTCTAGTTTATTGGTTGTTTGAAGGAATTACTGTACTAAGGCTTTGAACATTTAGCAGAGTGTAATATGTAAAACTAGAAATGTGTCATATTTTACATAAATACAAGTTTAAGAAAAGCTGAATAAGTGATAAATATGGCATATATTATCAATATTTTATGGAGGGATCACTATTTATCTGCACAAATATTTATTGATTGCTGATGCCACCATGGTGTTGTAGAAATCAAGCTGAACCAGGTTGTTTTATGGCATCCATTGCATGGTATCCTTATCATTAAATAATTTGGGGTTCTGCTCACTTTGACTGAGCACCACTGGTGGAGTCCATTGTGCATCAGGTCCCTTTCAGAAATTTTGTTGCACTGTGCACATGTTTGAATGTGATGTGGGGGTGGTGAGACAGTTGTCTGGATATAAGTGAGAGACTGGAAATGAGATAGCTGAGTTGAAATCCTTTCTGATCCCATTACTGGGTATCTTCTTAGCATGTCACAGTTTCTCAGCTTCTTAATTCTGCACAAGAGTGACTGAGTTAGTGGTTACAAAGCTATTTGTACTGTGCATGAACAAGCAATCATGCATGTAGTAGCAACTACAATAAGGTCAGGACTTTCCTGGAAATACCTTAATGATCCAAAAGAAACAGGCATTATTATCATTTATATGGAGCAAGCACCCCATGTATTTTGCTGGGAAGTACATCTATGTAGACCCATTAAAATAAACTTTTGCAGGTTGTGTTCCCTGTAATTTGTGTAGCTGAACACATTGCACAAATTGAAGGCAGATAAAAACTAAAAGAAAATCTATGCAACATGGCCAAGCCACTGATGAGTTGACCATCATGTTCTAAAAACCAAACTAATCTTTCTTTCTCCATATCAGAATGAGAAATCCACCACCCCTGTGTCTAAATCAAGTACCCCCACTCCCCGAACTGATGCGCCGACTCCTGGCAGTAATTCTACACCCGGATTGAGGCCTGTTCCTGGCAAACCACCCGGAGTCGACCCTTTGGGTTAGTTGACAGACCACGTGAGGGATCTGGTGGTGGGGGCCTTGCATCTAAAAGGGGATAGTGCTGCTTTGCACTGTCACAACTACAGGAGGATTGGATCAGGTCTGAATTCAGATCCTACACCTGCCCTGGGTTTGCTCTTAAACAAGCCTCAGCTTGAAGGAATAGAATGTCCTTTTTCGTAGCGAAGTGGTAAAAATGAAGACAGTAAAGCTCTTTGCACATTGAACGTGCACATCTTATAAATGGTCAGTCATAATTTATCTATGATATTATTTAAATGTGCAGAAATAGCATGAGGTGTAGGTTTTTTCTATTCTGTCTGATCCCAATTGCAAGTGGAAGATCTTATCTGAATATGTCATATAAGGACGAGTTTCTTGCATGTGGTCATGGAGAAACCTGTAGGGGTTTCATTTGTTTTTAAGTGGGACAACATTTAAACATTTAAATTAAGACTTTTGCTTCAGTCTAAATTGGTATAAATCAGTGAAAACTGCACCATGTCCCATTTCAGCAATTTCAGATGGGTCTTTAGTAGCCTTCCAAGGAAAACGGAAAATCTCTTTGCAAAGGTATTGTGAAAAGCTAGAGCAGTGTTGAGCAGTAACCTTTTTCTCAAGCACACATTTTCTGCCCCACTCCCCTTCCTCAAAGCTTGCTGATTGATTTCTTTCTCTGGCATACTTTTTGAGACCTCTCTATTTCTCCCTCCATCTTCTCTTCATAGCTTCAGGCCTAAGAACACCCATGGCAGTACCTTGTCCTTACCCTGCCCCATTTGGAATAGTACCTCACGCTGGAATGAATGGCGAGCTGACCAGCCCTGGAGCTGCATATGCAGGTCTCCATAATATCTCTCCCCAAATGAGTGCAGCAGCAGCGGCGGCGGCAGCTGCTGCAGCTTATGGAAGGTCTCCAGTGGTAAGTTTTGTGTGTATTTAACTCATATCAGTTTGAGCACCAATTATGCTAGTGGGTGTAGTAGGGCTTCTTCTCATTCAAAGCAGAGGCTCACGAAGCTTGAACCACTCATTTGCCCTAGAGAAATATAGCCAATTGCCAGAAGACTGATCTTCTTGAACTTTTTCAGTGAATAGTATAGAGGTGCTTTCCATGTTCTGCCTTTTCATGGAACTTACCTGATGGAGTAGCAACTCTTCTTGTTCCTGATCACTAATTGGGGGGGAGGGTGGAGAGAGAGAAAAGGAACCACTTTGAGGTATGAATGAATGAATGAATGAATGAATGAAGACTAGTAGGGCAGGTGCTTTCTCCTTCTTCAGTCTCATTGCTGCAGCCACTGTCTTGCGTCTAGGATAGCAACTGGAAGACAGATTTGTAGATTCTGGAGAACCAGATTTGGCTCTTGTGCCTCCAGTTGCTAACCACCCGTGTGTACAATAGCCTCTGTACACTAGATGCAATCTGTGAAATGAGTGGCTCTTGGACTTTATGGTACAAATACCAAAGTTCATAGAATATTCTAATAGTTTCAACATGGGTAATGTAATATTGAAATCAAATTTGGATTATCCAGGAATGAGCACTGCAATTAGAGTAAACTATCTGACCTTTCTTCCGGTGGGGGAGGGGAAGGCAGGGGTGTTAACTCGTAAATGTCATTCATTCTTCTGATTCCCCCCCCCCCCCCGTTTATTGAGCCCTTTCTGCTGTTGATACTTTAAAATGTGCTGTTGATTCCATGCTAATTGATTCCTCACTTTCCTTTTGTGTTCACCCATGGACTGTCTTAAAAAGAGGCAATGCCAGTCATGTTGGGTTTTTTTTTTTTTTTGTTAGTTACACTATGAGAGACTTGAACAGATGTACATGCAGAACAGGGAGAGTGTTGAGTGTGGCCCAGAGTTGGAAGGCTGCCTGGAAACTGCAATTAGTTCAAAACACAGCTGCTGGGGCTGCTACCTGGAACTAGGCCTTGGGTACATTTCTCACTGGAACCCCACCAAACTTTACTCCATTTCTGAGCATAGTCCAGAGTGCTGGTGCTTACCCTTAAAAGATTCACACAGCTTACAATACTTCTCTGATATCAGCCATGCACTAAAATGTTTTTCAGAGGTCCCTATCCAGGTATCTTATCCTCGGAAGTGGCAGGTAGTGGTGAAGGTCCTTCATTTCACTTGTGAATCTCACTTTCCATGAAGTCTCACCTGTTGCTTAATGGTTTTTGCAGACTTGGGAAAAGCATTTTGGAAACATTTTCTTAGTCTTTTAACCTAGGATGTGCCATTCACCCATTAGTGTTAATTTTTACCACTGTTAGCCATTACAGTATGCCTGATGTTTTATTGCTTATTATGAGCCACTGTGAATTGCCAAAGGGGGGGCAATTGTAATTTAACAGGGTACACAAATCATTTACATCAGGGCTACAGAGCTTCTTTTGAACCAAGAGCTAGTCCCATTTCAGATAAACTCTTGGGAGCTGGATTCAGTGGTGGGGGGGCTGATGGGTAAAGGATTAGGGCCAAAATGCCAAGAATATTTTAGCATAAAGGTATTGCTGCCAGTAATTAGATCTTAGGAAAATCAGTTCAACCTTTAAATGGGGGGAAAACTTGTATATTAAAAGTTAACCATCAAATGTTCAATGACTGGGGAACTGAGGTGGGGGTCATCTGGTGATCCTCAGAGTCTAGCTTGGGAGCCCAGGCCTTGGGTTCTGCTCCCCAGTTTAAATAATCAGGGAGTTGGTTGCCTTTTATGTTTCATCTTGCCACCATGGTCAGAGTCAATATAACTCTAAAGATTGTTTATTGGGAATAAAGAACAAATAATAATGTCCTGGGGCAAATGGCTGAGCCATTGTTGAGAACATGAAGTTGAGCTTGTGGACCTGCAACCTAATTGAGATGAGAAGGTTTTTTTCTTATATTCATAAACCTTAAGAAAGGGTCTCTGTGGTAACATCTGAGTACATGCTGGCAGCAGACAGAATGGCAGGATTCTAGCACTTTCCATTAATGCTCTGAACTTTCTTTGTTCTGTTTGTGGGAAAACTTCAGGTTGGTTTTGATCCACATCATCATATGCGAGTCCCCGGCATCCCTCCGAATCTGACAGGCATCCCAGGAGGAAAACCGTGAGTGTTAAACGTACAAACTCAATCATATTATTAAGCTTTTGTTCCTCTTGCTTCCTCTGCAGTACTGAATTCCATGCATGGCAGAGGGTGGTTAATCCTTCTTTTAATCTTAAAAGCCTATTTGGCAGCTTTTCCCATAGGTGAATATGCGCCAAGGGTATCAAATGCTGTGGATAAAAGAGGGCATGGGGAAGGGGTTATACTTCTGCAGTGGGACATGCTGGACTAAGGTAACTCAAGTTGGCACAAGAATGCAAATTGCAAAGGGCTCTCTGGTGTGCATGTCTTCAGGGTTCTGCCTTTCCATTTTAAAAATAATTCTTTTGTGCACAAAAGAAACCCTGCAATCAATTGCAGACTTACTGGATTCCATAAACAGTACTGCACAAAGAAAGGTTCTGATTGATTGAAAATACTGAAAAGAAATATAGTGTCATAATGTACAAATGCATCCTTGGTGGAACTGATCAGCAAAGGTGATCCACATTAACAAGCTTGGCTCACTGGGAGCCAGGCAAAAGCACTGAATGACTAATACAGAGTTTTTTCTTTCATTCATCTTTAGCAAAGAGAAAATTACACAGTGATCCTGGGCATTTATTGGTGTGTAAATTCACCACACCATATTCCCTTTGTGAAGCAAAGCATGTCCAATAAAGAAGCTGAGCTGTTGTGAATAGTTGGTCACTTTCCATATTTGTATGTGTGTTTTCTTTAAAATTAAACATAGAGAAAGATGATTCATTTCTCAAAAACATGCACGTTTCTTCCATCCCTCATGCCTGATACCATATAGAGGTTCCAGAGTTGCCCCATTAAGTAGAGCCCTAACTTTTGCATTGTCGACAGTTAAGAGTGTTGAGAGAGGATAGAGGAGAGAAGTGCTATGTAACAAAGTCCTTGCAATTATTTCCTATTATGCACTGATTTTTACAGCCACCAGGGGACCAGAGGTCAAATGGTACTAGGTTGTCTGAAGTGGTCCAATACAAGATAGTGCCTATGGACCACCAGCTAGAATCTCAGCTTGATGTTACCTGCCATAATTTCATTGAGTTCAGTGGAAGTCTGCCAATTTACCTTTTACAGCGTGACCTTCTCTATTCAAAGTCATAAATATCTGTAAGCATTTCCAGAAAACAGAAAATAATGAGTTTCATACTGCTCAGAATGCCAGTATCTATCTTAATAAAGCTTACTGTTTGCTCATCAACTTCAGTGCAGCAAATGAAGCTGCAAAGCTTGAACTAGGAGGTTATATGCTATTTTCAGTAGCCTGTATGAGTTTTCCACAAATCAGCTAGATGCCCAGTTCCTTCTACTAGCTATATATTTCCATATAATGTGCTTCAATTGACTCCTCAATAAAGTTGTGTTAAGTGACAGTACCAGACCGGCATGTTGCAAATAGTTTTGAGCACTGGAGTGTTCTCCTCTAGCAGAGCATTTGAGATGAAGTTGTTGATAGGTTATTCACAGGTGGCATAACTGGCATTCATATAGCCCGTTGTTCCTGATGAGACATACTCTTGCCATGTCTGTCCAGCATTTATCAGCCTGCCATTTTTTTCCAGTTGTTGCTGAAAAAATGTAACTCCTTAGTGTTTGCACGGAGCAGCAGGCCAAGAGCAAAAAAAAAAAAAAAAATCTAGCCTCTGTCTGTAGTTTTCTAAATACACAACCTATATTTCAGCATGAAACTTCTAAATTAAAGTGGGCCAGTGTGGACCACTTCACAGAAACATGAGAATTCTGTTTCAGTTTCCAGATAATCAGAAATTACCCCATTTGCAACCTCAAGTACAAGGTTGTCTTTCAAAATATGCTTGCACATTGCCAGGCTATTGAATGTGAGTGAAAAGTATGTATTTGTATCAATTTGTCCACTTCAAAATGTTCACTTTTCAAAAAGATAATATATTTTCATGCTTTAGTCAATGAGAAAAGTGTGCACTTTTAACAAAGGTGCACAACAATATGCATACATTTTCCCATTTGAACAGCTCACCTTTCCCATCCAAACTAAAAATGAGTGCAAGGCAAACCAAATTTTGAATTAGAGTAGAGATGGGTCTTGGCAGGCTTGAACATCCCTGGATCTTTTATCCCTAGATCTGTATTGCCCTTTTATGTATGCACAATATATGAGTCATTCAAATCTATTTTCCCTCTTCTTTCCTTAGAGCATACTCATTTCATGTAAGTGCTGATGGTCAAATGCAGCCTGTACCTTTCCCTCCTGATGCCCTGATTGGTCCAGGAATCCCACGACATGCTCGACAGATTAACACTCTGAACCATGGGGAAGTGGTATGTGCAGTTACTATTAGCAACCCTACAAGGCATGTCTACACAGGTGGAAAAGGATGTGTCAAGGTCTGGGATATCAGTCATCCAGGAAACAAAAGCCCTGTGTCTCAGCTGGATTGTCTGGTGAGTAAGGGTAGCAAGAAATCTATAGAGAGTGCCAATGAAACAATAATTGTCATGAGATAACAGGGGGCGGGGGGGGGCGTTAGTGTTTGGTGGTTATGGTGTCTGTAACTGAGTGAACCACTTTGATGGTTCTCTGTGTAGTTTATATAAAGCAAAACTCAGCTGTTGTTCAATTTTAATATTTTCTTAAGTTATTCACATTGCAAACAGTTGATTATTTGTTTTTTCTAGTTATATATTTACATACTGTTTACCTTGCCTTAATAAATACAGAATTAGACTCTCAAAGTGGTTTACAGAATCATACATGGAAATACAACACAAATGCATACAGAATGAATACCTAATAACTAAATTTAATTGGATTTCAAAGGGAGCTGCCCAGTTTTATAGGTATTCCAGTGCTAACTATATAGTTTGTGATGCTTAATTGTGCTTAAAAGATAATTCTACTATGGAGAGGTGGAATTTGGCTTTGGGTGAGAATCATGGTTATATTAAATATCTAATTACTGATTTGAATTTGCATAAACTTGCATATAGATAAACATTCTGGATCATTTTTATTTCTAAATGAGGCACAAGTTTTGTAACAGGCATCTTAAAACAATCTTTTTAGATTATGCATTTGATAGGATGAAAATTACCTCTTGATCCTTACCATCTGCAGTTTTTATAAATACTTGTATTACAAACAATACTTTTTAAAAAATCAACTGAAAAAATCAGGTACCTTTTTAGTTGTTTCAAGCATTTTTAAAGTAATAATTAAATATTGCAGCCTCAGCTTTTTTCTTAATGCATTAACATTTGGCCTAAGCAAAGGACAGATTGGTTTATGCATTCCACCAGAGTTAACATTAAGTAGGAGTATTTGGATGTAAGCTATTTAATGATAATTCAGTGATATTACCTTTATGTTTAATAGATTAACTATGTTGTACATTTTTTACAACCCTTAGCCCAAGCTTATACTGTATGCTTCTATGAATTAGAAGGCCATGATTTCTCTCTGTATTACCTCAACATCTGATTAATCATATGGTTTTTTATGATACAAGAAGAAAGGGAAAACTAAAACAGAAATCTATATACTTTATGTAATTATGAGTTCTCATAATTTATTTATTTATTTATTTATTAAAACATTTTTATGCCGCCCCATT